GTGACATTATCAACGCTATCCCAGCCGGGGTTAGCGTTGATACAGCTGCCAGTGAGGGGTCAGACCAGCTTTTTTGGCCAGTGAGATGGGAGCTAAATGTCGGATGTTAGCGGGTAGATCCATGTTTAAAAAACGCACATTAACCTGCTATTTTCAGTAGGAAAGAGGCTATAGAGACATCCTCCTCTGAGTGAAGCTGGGTGATGAATCCACCTCAGACCTAAAGAGCAATGCCTTCCTTTAATCCACTGAGGTAACATTTGATCCATTTCAAAAGTCATTATTAAAGCTTGAAACATTTATTTTCACAAGCATGTTAAATGTACTGCAGGAATCCCCAAAGTCGGTCCCAGAGGGCCACTGGGCTGCAGGTTTTAGAGGTTTCCCTGCTTTAGCACAGCTGATTCTGATTGTTGCAGTAGAGCAATAGCCTGTTAATCAACAATCAATGTAAATCAGCTGTGCTGGAGCAGGAAACCTCTAAAACCTGCAGGACAGCGGCCCCCCAGGACTGAAGTCTGAGGTTTGAATCCAACTCACTACTTCCATCCAAGAACCTTTAAATAATCAGCTAAAAGGACAAAATAAAATGTTTTTTTTCTTTGTTAATTGATAAGCTTCTATAAGGCAGAGAGTCCAGGACCTGGTTGGTGGTTCTACTGTTCACACCTCGTGGCTGGGCTAACTCTTAGCATGTAGCCCACTGGTTTGCATCCAGAAAAACATTCTTGTCTCTAACGTCTCTGTTTGGCCTCTGTGCTTGAAGGCAAACTTGACACAGACGTGTTTTATAAGCAGCTCAGCATCCATCCACTGCATATACACCAGAAAGAATAGAAATAATAATTTTTCTTCTTAAAATACAGCTGGAACAAGACAATTTATATAAAAAAAAAACTAAAAAAAAAACAATTGCATTGTCTTATTCAAGGTGAATATCATCTAATTAGCTTATTTTAGGTGTAAAAATACTAAATCAATTGGCAGATCATCTTATTTACTCAATTTAGGGGTAAGACACTTAATTTAAGAAATGTTGACTTATTTCTAGATGTTTTTTGCAGTGAACCAGCTGATCCCTGGAGAGGTTACCAGGACAACAGACACAGATGTTCTGCTTCCCGAACACATTTCAAAGTATTCAGTAACAGTAACATTTCTGGAAGAAAGTATGGAGAACCCGGGGAGACCCTGTCCATGCTAATGGAGAACCCGTCCATGCTAATGGAG